AACTCTGAGAGGCCAATTAAGTAAGAGAAAAAAAATTGGCCTCTCAGAGTTGGTAAGACAACTCCCACCTGTTCATGCTCTCTGTATGTGTGTATATATATCTCCTCAATATATGTTCCACTCTATGCATCCGAAGAAGTGGGCTTTAGTCCACGAAAGCTTATGCTCTAATAAATGTGTTAGTCTCTAAGGTGCCACAAGTACTCCTGTTCTTTTTGCGGATACAGACTAACACGGCTGCTACTCTGAAATCTTAACCAGAGTGGTGATAGTGAGAGTCGCTATAATGCAACTTGCAACCTCTTATCTGTGAAAAAGTGCTGGACCGCTACTTTGAATTGTAGCTTTTAATTTCCATTTTCATGTTTAGACACCTTTTCTAGTTGTTTCTAGGACAGGATTACAAAGCAGTAGAAATTCTGATGCCCGATCGAAGAGATTGTTTAAACATAATCTTGGCTAACCTTGGTGATTATTAAAATGAATGCCTGACAAATGCCTCCTATCCAGTGAGTGCTCTTTATTAGTATTTCTCAGTGGCCAGTCTCTGAGATCTCCATGACACAGCTTAGGAAGGCAGCAAGCCAGTCCCCTGTATCAAAAAGGTTGAGAAACACTGCCCTACCTCATGAAAGGCTGTTCAGAAATTAACATCAGTTCTTAATCCCTTCAGGATATGCTTGCATGCCAGTATTTGAGGGCAGCACTTCCCCATGTCAGTTTGAATTGCTTCTCCTTGCATTGTGTGTAACTCACAAAAGTACAGAGTTGTAGTTAAAGGAATGTTGCATATTGCCAATTACTTTACCTTTTGGTATGACGGCACAGATGTTTAAAATGGAAATATATGTTTAAAATGTCATTTCTATTTTATAGCTTTAGAAATGCTCATGAAAGGGGGTTGATTGCCAGCCCTGTGAACTTAAACCAACAAGCACCAGCAGCGCAGGTTTTGTGCACTGCCCTGCTAATGTGCCTAAGGCTGTTCCACAGAAACCAGATCTTAGGTTGGGAGGAGGTCTTCATGCCCATTGAGGCCTCTGTTCAGCAAAACACGAGAACACGTGTTTAACTTTAAGCACTTGAGTAGTCAGTCCTGTTAACTTCAGTGGGATACTCGTGTGCTTGAAGGTAAGTATGCACTTAAGTATTTTCCTAGACCAGGGCCTCAGTCCTTATTCTCTCTGTTAAGAGTGAGAAAGGATTGAGGGACAGAGGTAGCCATGTGTTTCTGACTTGGCTCTCTGGCCACTAAGAACTGAACTAAGATCACCAATTTATTCCACATAGGCTTTGTGGACTTTTGCTCACAACTAAGCTGAAATGAATTTGAACTGATGACCTAGTGGTGAAATCTTTATTTATCATGACCAATTTCATGAGCCATCCAGTCCCCCTAAATAGAGCACTGTGCCCTTGGGCCAGACCTTGTGTCTTCCATACTGCAATGTGTAACATTGACAAGCTGATCAATAATTATAAACCTATTATTATAAACCTATGCTTAAGCCACATGGGAGAGGGGTAGGTTTGTGCTTGGTTTGTAAATCAGGTGCAAGGCCACCTACATTTTTAAGGCCCAGCTTGACAAAGCCCTGGCTGAGATGATTTAGTTGGGGCTTGGTCCTGATTTGAGCAGGGGGTTGGACTAGATGACCTCCTGAGGTCCCTTCCAACCCTGATATTCTATGATTCTATGATACATTTGGTTTGGAGGCAGCCACTTTCTCTTAATATTTTATACACTGATTTGAAGAGAGCACTTTTTATAGACCCCATAATACTACAGGGACATGATGCATCCTGTGAGGTTACTAAATTTCTCTGTGGCTAAATTTTGCTCTCCCACCTTTGTAACCTCATTGTTTGCAGTGAAGATGAATGGATGTAGATGAGGGGAGAGTTTTGGCCTGTTAACTTCAAAATTTGTGGAGGTTGCACAACATCTCACTGGGCCCTAAATGTATATGTCCATGAAACAACATGTTTCATGGTGACAGCTGCATTCCTACAGCTACGGAGTTTAAAATCAGAGGGAGAATCCACATGGCATTGCAATGAGGAGAAGATGTTTGTGACCCTTTTAAAAAATAATACTACAGTATATTTAAAAAATGAGAAAATGTTAATACGTGATGTCATGTTTGTGTTAATGAGAGTAGAAACAGAGTATTAACTTCAAAAGCAAGTATAATGTGGAAATCAGCTGTAAAAACTTTCCTGCCATTGTGTCTTGGTTATGACCTACAGTATATCCATTCAAGTCCCATGTTTTTCTCACATAGAAACAGCCAGGCATGCCTGAATCATAGTAAATTGCTCAACCATTTTGCAGTATTGAAAAACATCCGCAAGTGATTCCGATGGGACTAGTATGATCATTTTTAGTTGTGATCTAAATCAAATTTGAATTTAGTTTTCTAGGAGCAAACACATTTAGTTTTGCTTTAATCAGTATACTTTTTAAACCAGCACAGATGTTAGTTTTCATCTTCTACACTGGGTACGGTCACCGAATTGTGTAGTTGAAAAACTAGAGATACTTAACAAAGGCAGTGAGAAAGGAGGCAGGGGGAAGGTTTTGGTTAGGGTCACATTATGCATTCTGGTCTTCCTAGTAGTGTTTTTGAAATCTAAATGTAATAGGCTGGGCTTGAGGAAACTGTTCTTAATTTGAGTGCACATAGATTACAGGTGCAATTATAAGACCAACATTTACATTGTTTGCCCTTGAATTCGTTTCAGTTTTGTATTAAATAGTGCTACATCTGTATTTGCAGTAGTCCATATACTTCCTTGTACTTGGTATAAGTAATACTGCAAATATTGAGGCAACATCTTGGCAATTGGAAAATTGGTAAGGAGAACCATTATGAGGTATTTGGTCATCTAAATATCTGCTTGTGCCAGCAAAATTCTAATTCTGGTAAAGTCTGGAAATGTTCTCAGTGGGTCTAATTCTAAAATTGTGACTGACTTCTCACGTATAAAGATGATCATTAATGTAGGCTTTTATATATAATGTGTAAACGTGTTATTCTGTTGTAAACCTTGTTTAGCTTTAAAACTAATGAAATAGATTTGAAATAATTTTCTCACAACTCCTTTATTTTTATTTTCCAATATTTTGCTAGCAAATAGAATATCAATATAATATAAAATATGCCTTAATCTTTCCCTTACACGTTTTGCATTACTGCAAAATGCTACTTGCTCTCCCAGTAACCTGGGACAAACATTTTTAATGACAGGTGAGTAACTGGTATATGGTGTTTTCATTTTCATCCTCATTATAGTAAGGATATGCAATTAGATTGTTGCCTAGAGCTTTTTTAGTAATTTTACAAGGCTCTTATACAGTCTTATACGTTTATTATTTCTTTGACACTTTTTAGCAATGTGTTCAGTTGGGTCCTGTAATCTCTGGCCTGTGCTGAGAATGTGGTGGAGCTGTGCCATCCCAGCAGGAGCTCACAGAAGTACTGTGCTTCAAGTGTGTGCTTCCCTCTGCTGCCCCAACTGTTCCCGTTACTAAGGATGGCTAGCACCACAAGCCCTGTGCTCAGATGAGCACAAGAACTGCAATTGTAGCTAGTTCCTTTGCAAGGGCACCAGAGGAAACCTGATTGAACCTCCCCTGCTTCTTCAATCACTCGGAGGCTGTTACGGTTAAATTTGATACATTAATTTTGCAGAAGTATTCTGCAGGTGAACTGCAAGACAGAGACTGATTCAAATACCCCAGAATGGGGATTGAGGTTTTTTAAAGTCTTTTAGATGCTTGGCAGTTATCTAAATCCTGATGCTTTTGAACATGGGTGTGAAAGGTAGTTTACTCCTGCACATATTGGTTCCATACAACCTGACCAATGCAGGTCAAGTCTTCCACAGTCAAAATCTGTGAAGCTGCTGAAAGGGGCAAATAATGTATGCATATGAGCTCCTAGGTTAGCGAATCCCTGTGCAGAGCCCATAGACGCTGCCGCAGCAGGGGAGTTGCAGTTATCCATTCAAAGCAGCAATAGGGGAAAGGCGACTTGTGGGTGAAGGGGACAGAATTGTCTCTTATGGGGAGGAGGAGAATCTTTGGGAAGTGTCCTGTCTCTCCTGCATGCCGACCCTGGGGAAGGGAACTTCCCCACTGACGGATCTGTTTTGAAGACATCAGTGCTCACTTCAAGCTAAAGAGCTCTCATCCTGTCCTGTGTGACTGACGTTCACTCAGCTGGATAGATCTCATCCCTCTCTCTACACTAGGATGTTTGGAGAGGCCCCACTAGCTGTAGCAGTGGGGAACCAGAGTCATGGACTCTGCCTATGAAATGCCTTGGCTGCCATATCGCAGATTTGCAGCACCTGGTGATGTTCAGGATTCCAATATGTGCTCCACAGGCATGATGTAAAGCTATGCTGTGGAACTCTGGCTGGGTACACAACTACAACAAAGTCAGGCTCAGGGCAATACGGGAGACTGAAAGTCTAGTCCATTGAGATTGTCTCCTTTTGTTTCTAGTAGAGGTTACTTGTTCCGTTAAAAAGAAAGTGTTTTTTTTCCTTCCCCTTAGGTGGAACGTGTTGGGTATTCAAGGATCCTTACTTAGCCTCTTTGTGGAGCCAATTTACTTCTCTAGCATCATCTTGGGGAGTTTATATCATGGGGACCATCTATCCAGAGCAGTATACCAGCGGATAGCAGAGATAGAAGATCTACCACCTCTGTATACGCTCAACAGACCTTTACTTAGTGGCAAGTATCTAATGGAGAAGGCTGTACGGTAACTGAATCGGTTCCAACAGTAACATAATTTTGCAATTCTCAAACCTTTGCAAATTATGTACTGTGAGCAAATTGTTTTGTGACTACAGCAAGGAAGTTATGACCCAAACCTGAAATTAAGCTATAACCAGCTAGACTTACTATTACAGGACCCTCTTTGTGTGTTACTCCTAACAGGAGTTTCTGTGAACTCTTCTATAGGAGCCATTTCATGTGGCTGTATTTATCTGCTAGTTTAAGAATGCAGGTGCCCCACCAATATATTAGAAAAGATGAAAGCCTGTGTTCGGTGAAATCTCTCTTCCTTTCCCACCTAAGAAGAGTGTGAGGTTTCAGTGTTACTGCTCTTGCCATTGGAGTTATTTGCTGAGCCGTCTCCATCATGTTAGCAGTGTGCCAAGATACACAAACATTTGTTTCTCAATTGCTAGATTAATAATCAACTCAAAATGGACAGAGAAAACGTCCCAGCTGCCATTGGTTGCATTTTCTTCCTGTCATCAAGCTCTGCTGGATTCAGCATATGTTTTAGTTAGCATGGCGCTCCACTTGCCTGCATGGCCCAACTACCATAAAAGTATCACTTCCACCTCATAGCTTGGTGCACAGGTGCTGCATTTAGAGCCCAACAGCGCATCCCTTAGGATTACCTTTCAATAGATTGTCATATTTCTGCTCAGCAGACCTGGTTCATAATCTCCAGCTACCGTAATTAGCTAATGTTGCAGTTGTTTGTTCCAGATATTGTTTACGCTCTTGAATATTGTTTTTCATTTAGAATGTTGTTAAGTAGGATTAAGCGGAATGAGCATTTGAATTCTACATTCATCTCTATTTAAAAGGAAACTGTTAAGGTATTTTTTAACCCTTTTAAAAAGTAAGGTCTCTATTAGTTACAATAATGCCATGACAAGTTTAAAAGTGAAATGTTTCCCTCACAAAATGGGTATTTCCCCAGTGCTAGTCACACTGCTTTGTTTTATAGCACTTGGTTTCCAGCATGTGTTTGTTTATTTTTCAGAAAAAGCATAATTTTTAAAGCATGTTTAACAAATTACATGAATTTTGCATACAGGCATAGGGGATGGGAACAGGTACATCAAATTAACCACTATCCATTTAGCTATAATGAAAGTTCGTTAATAAGGGTCACACAGCTTAGATACAGTAGAATGGGGAGAGGAAACTTTCTGGCCTGAGGGCCGCATCAGATTTCATAAATTGTATGGAGGGCCGGTTAGGGGAGGGGGTCGTGGCCTGGGCCCCCACCTCCTATCTGCCCCCCACCCCCGGGGACTTCTGCCCCATCCACACACCCCTGCTCCCTGTCCCCTGACCACCCCTGGACTCCCGCTGCCCCATCCAACCCCTCCTCTCATTCCTGATGGCCCCCCCTGGACTCCTGCCCCATCCAACCACCCTTTCTCCCTGTCCCCTGACTGTCCCCAGAATCCCTGCCCCCTGACGCCCCATCCAACCCCCCCTCCTTCTGACTGCCCCCCACGAATCCCCTGCCCCCATTCAACCCCCTCGTTCTCCCCCCAACTGCCCCGACCCCTATCCACTCCCCTGCTCCCTGACCACCACTCCGAACTCCCCTGCCCTCTATCCAACACCCGCCCCCTGCTCCATGCCCTCTTACCGCGCTGCCTGGAGCACTGGTGGCTGGTGGCACTACAGCCGTGCCGCCCGGCTGGAGTCGGGCCACGCTGCCGCCGCCACTGCACAGCACAGAGCACCGCGTCAGGCCGGGCTCTGCAGCTGCACTGCCCCAGGAGCTCACAGCCCCGCCGCCCAGAGCATTGCACCGGTGGCGCTGATGCTGGGGGGGGACAGCAGGGGAAGGGCCGGGGGCGAGCCTCCCGGGCCAGGAGCTCGGGAGCCAGGCAGGATGGTCCCGCGGGCTGGAGTTTGCCCATCTCTGCAGTAGAATGTGAAATGATGGACTTGCCAAAAACATTAGTATGTAATAATAACTAGTCGTTACAGCACACTAAATCCTACACAGTCAATTGTTTTGACCCTAATAACTGACAATTATAGTTGCTGCCTGATTTCATGTATGCTTTTCTGATTCCATATTTAGATTGTAAATTCTTTGAGATGGAATGCTTGTTGTCATATTCTCTGTAGAGTACTTAGTGCATTTTCAGCTCTGTAAATTCCAGCTGAAGGATTTTAAGGGCAATCTTCATGTATCTGACATAAAATAGTTCTATCTGTTTTAAGACTCCTATCAGAACTTCATCATTATTATTCATAGATAGAAGTCTGAAATCTTCTGGGCTGTTTGAACAGCATTTTCCCGAGAAATATCTTTCAGACTGGATGTGAAACCACAAAAAGAAAATGAGTTAGATTAAATAGATTCATGGATTTTCTTTTGTTTGGGGCAGCAGTAGTGTTCAGAGCCCAGCACAGTTGGATTCAGATGGTGTATCTGTTTAGTCACAGATCCACTGGCCAGTCTCCTCTCTGGAGGTGCAGATAAAGCCACATAGGGCTGTGGAAACCTAGGCCCCCCCAATCCTGCCTCCCCCTGCTCAGGTGGGTGAAGGTTTCAGTTGTATTTTGAATAGCTAGACTATAGTGGTTTGTTTCAGAGGCAAAATGATCTCTTTAGTGATAGTGTTTTCTCTCCTCACTCACGCTCTGACCTACCTTTCTGGTAAACACAATTTGTATTTAGTCTCACTTAATGCCAGCAGGGATAGCTGGAGAACACTGGATCAAACTGAGTTGCATTGTCCGCTCTTCCATTAGAAATCAGCATTGTTGTCAAAAATAAAGATCTTTCTTTATCCATAGGCACCTGCTGTGAAAATTTAGTGAGCAGAAAGGTTAAACCTGAATGTACTGTCTCGAGTGCCTTTCCTTCAGTTGGTAGGAACAAGAGGCCCATGCAGTGGATACTCTGTCCACCGCTAAGACCCTTAAAATCCTGGCTTCAGACCCCAGCCTTTCAGGATGGAGGAGACGCCTGCAGAGCTATAGCACAGCAATCACAGAGAGTCAGCATCCAAAAACTGAGAGCAGTCAGGTTGGCTCTTCTGGTCTTCCAGTATCATCGGAGAAAGAAGCACATTGTGGTTCAGACAACATGACCATTGTATATATAAATCAACAAGCAGGCACAAGAAGCTCAGATCTAAATAGTAAATCAGCAGAGTCTCTTGTGGGCAGAAGCTCGCTTAGCCTCCATGAAGGCAATCAACATAAAAGAGACACTGAGCATGACAGTGGACTGACTAAGCTATCAGCAAATAGACAAATTGGAATGGCCCCTGAACCCAGCTACCTCAGGTGGACCTGTTTGCATCCAGACAAAACGTGAAGGTCAGGCACTTCTTCACTAGGGAGCACAACCACTGGCAATAGAAATGTGAGTGACTGTTCACATGATTCCATTCTTGATGTGCATGTGCTCCATGGTCTTTTGCCAGAAGCCTCCATAGGGGCCACACTTGCAACCTAGGTGCCCTCGCACCGGTCCCCGACCCCCAACTGAGATCATAAATGAAGGAGTAGTCCCAACCATCCCTCAGTTCCTTCTTACCACACATGACTACAAGACCGAATACTGCAGTGTTCACTTTTTCTGAGCATTGTGTTATTTTTCCTTAGCTTTGTATATAATATTTACATAGTACATATACAACTATATACTTCTTTAGTAAATAAGTTTTTTGGCCTAGGACTTCCCACTCCCCACAGTGGTACTAGCATTATGGCAGAAGTCAAATCATCAGCATTTGGGACCTGTCCCTCATTTGATTCTTCAATTAGTATTAATGATGGGCACTCCTGGTGTCTGCTGTGTCTGTGAGAACACATCCCAGAGCAATGTGCTGTCTGTTGCTCTTTTTCCAACCACACTCAGAGAGCAAGGAAAGCCTGCCTGAAGCTGTTCCTCCTAAAAAGATTAATGCAAATCTCTTCAGGCACTAAAATGGGGATTCTATTCTGGGAAGCAATGAGTCGGAGACAGACTTAGGTGTCATGATGGCTAATCATCTGAACATGAGCTCCCAGTGTGAAGCTGTGGCCAAAAGGACTAATACAATCCCTGAATGTGTAAGTGGGAATCTCAAGTAGGAGTAAGGAGCTAAGTTCCCTCTAAGCTGTGAACCCGTGCAGCATCGTATTAAGC